GCCACCTTCCCAGACAGGAGAATGAAGAGATTTACAGAATGAGAGTATGAGTTTACAGGGGCACGACATAAGGGAGCATGACGGACCAGGAAATCCGGGGAGAGGCAACTCTAATGATGAGTGGTGGACCGAAGTGTCGGGTGCACTGGTGTGTGCCTATGTGGTTTTGATGACTAGCTAGAATGACTACTAATCGGGCGGCTGCAAATCAGGTTCACTTTTTTCCTGAACCAGAGTTGCAGCCGCGACACAATTTTCCTTTTTTCTTCCCTCCCGCCCGGGTAAATTGGATGAAGTAGGTCTGTCTGTGATACATGAGCAGGCTCTCTGGTATAACCAGGGCCATTGCCTTTGCCTGGATCCTAGTCTGGAGGGGAGGTTTACAACCTCTATAGACCCATATTGACATGATCTTGCTATAGTCTAGTAGCTCCACTTGACCTAAAAGTGGAATTGCCGAAGCTTCTCATTGCCTTGGATCTTTGGATCTTTTGAGGTCTTCCGGAAAATGTACCATTGATTGATTGATGGCTGTCAGCTGCCAACCCTCACATCCTCCACAACAATTGCACTACCAGTAGTCTAGCTAGTCTAAAAGGAAATTACAATACAAACTGCAGCAAGACATCGGAGTGGATAAAGGGATCACACTAAATTTCAACCCTTCCAACTTGCCCAAATTACTAATTAATCAAAAGAAAAGACAATACAACCAAAATGGGAGGCTTTGCAGCAGGAAAGTTGGCCGTGAAGATGGTGATTGCGGCCTTTTCGGGCATGGGAGCCGCCACGATCTGTCATCCCCTCGATGTGATTCGCGTCCAAATGCAAACAGAAGGAGGATCCTACACGAGTCCGCTGGACTGTGCCAATCAAATTGTCAAACAAGAGGGACTCGTTAATGGTCTCTATGCGGGAATCTCGGCTGGTGGGTATAATATATACATGTCCAGAAGAATTGATATTGTCTTTTGTGGTTGTCTCCTCAACCCCTCCTCTTCTCTTTGCTATCTTATGCATACAGCGTATCTTCGCCAATGGCTCTATGGAAGTTGTCGGATTGGAATCTACGCCTTTTTGCTGGAACAGGCTCAAACCAATAATATTGCCGCCGGTTTGGAAAAGAATGCCATTCCGTTGGCGCACAAAATGGCCATGGGATTGACATCGGGTGGAATTGGTTCTTTCGTGGGAACTCCCTCGGAATTGGCGCTTGTACGCATGTCGGCCGATTCCAAACTCCCCGAAAAAGAACGTCGCAATTACAAATCCGTTGTCGATTGCGTCTCGCGCATTGCCAATGAAGAAGGGATTCCACAATTATGGCGCGGTGCCAAAGTGACCGTACTAAGAGCGATGGTACTCAGTGCCTGTGCCATGGGCATGACATCCGATATCAAACAACGATTGGTACTCAGCAAAATCTTTGGAGACGACGGACAAATGTTCCATGGACTGCCACTCATGTTCTGTGCCACGCTCGTGTCGAGTTTTGCCGCCAATATTGTCGCCAATCCACTCGATGTCATTAAAAGTCGCATGCAAAACCAAAAGGTTGAAAAAGATGGAACTTCGGCCAAGTACAAATCCATGGTCGATTGTTTCTGGAAAATACTCGCCGACGAAGGTGTCCTGAAGTTATGGGCGGGATTCACTCCGGCATTCCTCAAGTTGGCACCCTATACCATCATTTCGCTCATTCTCACAGAAAAAATCACCATGGTCGTCACTGGAAAGGCGGCATTGTAGAGTACAGCAAAAGTTATATTACATACTTAGTGAGTGGACTCATGGAATGAACGAATCGAATCGAATCGAATCGAATCAATCCATGCGTCTTCGACTGTATTTTGAAAGTTACGTTGTCTCTACTCTGAACTATGAACTTTTAATTGAAAGCAAGGATTCAATGCTGCTAATAGATTCGATTCTCACGTTTTTAGGGCCATTTGCGGTCTGAAGGGGTTGTTTCCTGACAAGGATGAAGCCCAGACAACGATTGTAGCTCTATGGTTGCGGTGCAGAAATATTGGAAGCATGAATGCTTCGGTACAAAAGCAGCTCCACATTTTTATTTGGAGCAGTCACTCCAGACATCCCAAAGAGAACCTGGTCTGCACCGGTACATAGTACAGGTATGGTACGGTACCACGGTACCGGTTCCGTACCGGTACAGTACTTTCCAGTGTACCGAATACTTGTTTGCTGCCCTGCCATGGCTCCGTTGCCATGGCTCCGTTATCTTCCTCCTTTCTCGGGATCACTCACGCAGCAAGGCGAAGTGGTAGTAGTTGGCGCCAGGCTTGCACGGGAATATGAGACTTGCTATTCCCACTCGTCTCCTTTTGCTGACGCGTTGCTTGCTGTAGATGCAAGACCCAGTATTGCAAACCAGGCCGGTGGATTGTTGAGCTCGAACGTGCAAGCCCCCACAAAAAAATCTTTACATTCTGAAACTGCATCTTATTACCGTTTCCGTGCGCTACCTGCAAGAACATGACAATCACTGGCCATTTTGTCTAATGGGCCAAACCCGTTCGGTCGATCGTCGAGAGTTTGCGCGAGGAGACTGATGACACTGACCCTTCGTTGGTCAATTGCTTTGAAACCTGTAGAGAATGGGACATCGAAACCGGCCATCTCACGGGCAAGGAAAGTCAAGAGCAGGCAGGCATGGACGTGGATGATGCCGAATTAGATGCGGTTAGTTCAAGCTTGGAAGAGAAGGAGTCGGTGCTGGAGCTGGAAAAAGGAAAATTTGGAACAACATGGCTCCAATGCAAGCTTGCAGCAGGAGGAGGAGCACGAATTGGAACAAAATGGCTCCAAGAATGAGCCCGAGACGGACGATTGCGGTGTCGACATCGAAGCCGACGAGGAGAGCAAGAAAGAAGAGGACGATGGTGGATGGAAGGAACATGAACCATCAACGGAGGATTCATCTTTGCATCCAGATGAATCAGAGCAAAGTGTGTTTGATGATGAGCCGACATTGCTCCCCAGTGACGAGTTCACAACGATCAAGCCCAGCGAAGATGAAGGCTTCAAAGCAACGAGCTTTGAGGAAGTGGAAAAGATGGGAAAAGATGTGTCCAAGTGGAAGGGAGCCATAGTCAAACACGGCCGTAAGGTCACAGTCGTGAAGACCCAAGATGGCGCTTTTCCACTCAATTTCAAAGATTTCAAATACAACTACGGCAGGAAAGGGCAGGTTGTACCATCATCCTGGTCAAAGGTTGAGGCACTGAAAGTTCCTTCGAAACAAGGTGAACATTACTTTGAAAGAGATTTTGCCCCGGAAGCCAGCTGGAATATTGACATTGATGCTGAAGATACAATCAGCATGGTTTTCCTCTGTTCCGCTTCCAGGGAAGCTTTTGCAGTCTGTTGTCTTGCCAATGCATTGGTTTGGTTTTTCGGTGCCATCTTCATTGTGTGGCTCTCCCGCAACACCGAACCTGCAATGTATGAGGGCGAAGCTTATGAACTCGTTGCCATTCTTGTTGTCATCCTTGGAGTAGTTTGTCTAGGAATGCTCTCCGACTTGAAAAATGAGATGGATAGGCTTCCCAAGTTATCACACATTGCTGGGCTCATGCGTTGTTCCGAGAGGATCGCCTTGAAGGGCAGTGTGACACTGCATTGGGTGAATCTAGCTCAAACTGTCGCCTTCAAAGGGTTGTCCTTCTACGTTGGTTTGTGTGAAAACAACCTTCTGGATGTCATCCTCAACGTTGTCGCTGTGGACTATCTTGCTGCCATGGACACAGCAATGAAGCAGCTCTATTGTCTTTACCGGCTTGGTGACAAGAAGATAAACTTGACCTTTGTGGACATCCACTATATCGACCCTGGTGAATCTGTGCTAAGAGACGAGACTGAAAGTGCCCGTACCGGTAGTGGATATTGGCATATAGGGCAAGCCAGATTCTGGGAACAGAACAAAACCAACCCTAGGGCTGTACAGAACAAACTCAATGACGAATCCACAAGCAACGAAAAAAAGTTGGATCTCCTTCTTCAGGGCACTTGGGACCGTTTTGAGTATCCTCTCGAGCTACCCCGTGGCTTGCCAATGGTTAGCTCTATGTTATCGCACACGATTCTTTTTGGCTGGGAGCAAGAGATCGGGTTCCCCGAAAACAGTCAGGAACAGCTCATGATACTTTTGGGTTGTACCCGGGACGATTGGGAATTCACTTTGGAACCTGAACTGCAAGCTGCATTGATGCTCAAATTCTGAGCATTGTCAAGAGTTTCCATTGACCAATGGTTTGCTCGGAACGTCTTTCGTTGGCAAGAACATTGATCTCAAGCATGTAAAGTCCTTCATGAAAATGACGCAATATGGTCCTTATCAAGTCGAAGACATAGCCTTTTGTGACAATCACCGGGTTGACGACGAATGTGCAAAATACATAGTTCAGTTTTTGAACGACGAAAAGGCCAGCAGGAAGCTGAGTGGTGTCGACCTTCTCAATACTGGGATCACCAAGGCCGGTGCACAGATGATATTAGATGCTGTGAAAGCCAAGCAACAACGTCTGTATCAGCCGATGACGCTTTGGCTTGGCACCGATCCCCTCGCAGAGAGCACGATATCCCCAAGGGAAATGTATGAGCTTGCATGCAGTATCATGGAGTGCAACGACGAATGTATCCGCATGGCAGAACAGTCTCCTGAATTCTGTAGGAAAAAACAAGAAGTAAAAATGGCGGGCTGTGGTTATGCTGAAGAAGAAATACGCAGCTTGGTTGTAAGCGAGCTTGTATCCATCATCTTTCTTGTTGGGGTGACGGCCGACTTTACCGACCTCCTTTCTCAGGATTTGTATCGACATCTGAGGACTGTGAGCAGTCTTCAGAGAATTACATTTTCTCTGATGAAAAATCGGGTTACTATGAGGCTGCAGCGGACTGGAGATGTTGATCTATTGTTTGGATTGAATCTTCGATTCGATTCGATTCAATCATTCCGAGGATTGATCATTCCTTAGCGTGCTGCCTAGGGTACCGTACCGGTACGTACCGTACCGAGCTCAATTGCTACCGTACCCCCTCCGAATTCCGCCGCCTTCCTTCCCCACCTCGACCCCTCCTCTTCAACCTCCACATTCGCCTCCCCTCTCTCCTCCTTCCCGCCTCCTCCTTTCCCAACACAGCTGTCCTACACTTCTTAGCTTAGCCCCCCCTCCTTCACCATTTATTTAGTCTTTCATTTATCTTCCTTCTGAAGTCTCTTGAGTGCGGGGGCTCGTTGCTATGTTTTGCCTGAGCAATGAGATCGTCGAAGTCAAAGCTAGACTGTGCTGATCAGGCACATGATTGAACCATTCTCTATACTAAGGCGTGATGTATTGAACTAATGCACAACAGCTATGATCCTCTCTCTGCAAAGAAGACACATTGCCTTCAATCCCAAGCAACTGCCACACCATACGAAAAGGAAACAAGTCTCAAACTTCTTCTCCGGCTGCTCCAACAGGTGTTGGCTCCGGCGACTTGTTGCCAGGAGCATGTTCCTGGACCGACGAGCTGAGTTCCGAACCACTAAATTCGCCCGAAGTTTCCGCCAGAGCAGTCATGCCGCGATCCGACAATACCGGAAAGTAACCCTCCCCCGAATTTGTCGAGTTCCGTATAGACACGGAAGACAGACGCCTGCCTCCAGCGCCTTCGTTCACCCAATAGGTATGCATTTCTCCCTTTCCCCTGCATCACATCGCACACCAAATCAACATAGGTGTAAAGATCAGACCTTCTCCAGAATAGAAAACAACCCCATGAGGCCAAACGCAAAACTGGCAACTTACTTGATCTTCACTTTGCCTCTAGACTTCATCGGTAATTCTCTGTGCTGCGTTTGAAGAAGCTTTGCCGCTGCACGCGAGCAATGAATGCGGTTCTCCTCGGAGTTGGACTCCATGCGGGATGCTGTTCACATTCAAAAGAAGACGACGTTAGATCGATACACTCTTCAGACAACAAAGCAAAACATTACCCTTAGCTGACTGACCTGTGTTGACAGTGTCCCCGAACAGGCAGTATCTGAGAGCAACAAGGTATCATTAGCTACTCGGGAGCAGCAGCAACACAGTTCGGGAAGAGGAACAGAACCAGCTTTACCTTGGATTGCGAGTCCCCACGACATCAGCCACTACAGGTCCAGAATGGAAACCTTGAAACAGAAGAAGACAAAACCAACTGTGAGGATGCGAGACTCTCCTCCGAGGTTTCAAATCTTCTCAAAATTGCTTACCAACTCTAATGTTTACACAGCCCTTCTCTTCATCGTCTTCGTCGATCAAGGTGTCGTTTGCTGCTTCAATGGCTTCTATCGCAAAGTCGGCGATGCGCTTACAATGATCCTCATCTTGGTCCTTGACCAGGTTAGTAACGGCCATGTATGCTACAAGAAAAAGTGAAATGAGTGAGGCAATGATGCAAAGGATACAGCTACACTGGTATCTACTTGAGCTGCCTCACCATCCCCGATTGTCTCCACCTATGCACAGCAGACAAAAAGCAACGTCAGATGGGATTCTAGGTGGACTGCTTGCCTGGCTTGTGCGAGGATGGTGAATACGCACCTTGAAAATGTCATGTTGTTGAGACAAAGCATCAAACTTGGTGTACTATTGATAGCAACACCACAGCCAGCAGGAGAGTGTAGCGAAAGTCAGTCTTCTGAAATGACCTGGGCGAGCGCACCATCGAGCTGTACAACCAGCCACCCTGAAGTCGAAAACTTGTCACGTACCAATCGGTCTAGCATTCTGGCCACCTTCCTCGGCTCAAGCTCAGAGGAAATGGTGGTGAACCCTTTTTCGTACGGAAACCGTAGAGTTTCGACGAGGTTAGCATTTCAAAGAGATTGCACACATGCATGTCGGCACATTGTTCCACGTACCTACGATATCTGTTTAGCGAACCAGAGTTCCACCGCAAGAAATCACTTGTGAGTTGCGAACTTCAGCAGGAAAAGTGAAGATAGAATTCCCTGGCAGTTCCACGTACCACTGAAGAATATCGTTACAGAGTCTTTGTGCTCTGCTTCGACCGTACGCCCATCGCGCAAAGCCTCGGCTATGTGCCTCGGAAAGATGTCAAACAAGCTTACTTGTGCCGCTTTCTTGTTGGTTTGGTCGCCGTCCATTTCATCGGCATCGATACGTTTCAAGCGCGTGTCTGCTTCTTCGCAAGTGGGGCGTTTTTCTGGGTCATCATCAAGACAATCCTTCATTAGCGCCCTGATGGATTCTGGCATGTGCAAAGGAGCTGGTGGTCTCTTCCTGACAACTTTGTCTGCAACCAATTTCAACACTTCCCCGGCATCTTCCCCATCGTAGGGATCACGCCGAGAGAAGACTTCGTACAACAGGAAAAAACTAAGTTGAAGGGATGGAAAACTTCAGCAGGCCATGGGGCCTCCCTTCAACCTTACCTTCGTAAAGTATTATCCCGAAACTGTAGACATCAGATGCAACTGTGTTGGCACTCTCCCCCCTCAACAATTCCTGCTCGACCATCAATGAATCAGTAGAATAAGAACAGCTGTAGAGAAGCTTTTCACATGATCACTTGTGAATAATACCACTTACTGGCGCCATCCAAAAAGGCGTCCCGGTTCCACCCATATTTTCCTTCTGACTGAGACCGAAATCTGCAACCTTGCCCCTGTAACGGCTATCCACGAGGATCTGATGGAAGATGTGTCAATAACAGCAGAGAGTTGAGGCATCCAACAGGACTCTACAGTGGAAAACTAAAGGTACTCAAAACGTCAACTCACATTGGCAGCCTTGAGACGGAAGTAAAAACACAAATGCAAAGAGGGAAATTTATGTTAGTGGGCACTTTTCGGTGGAAATAAACTGGCATCCAGCGGATTGTGGGACTTCCGTACCTTCAAATCACCGTGTATCACCGGCGGGTTAGAGGCGTGAAGAAACCTCATTCCCTGAAGAAAGAGTGACAGGAGCGACAATGTCAGCAGAAACCCAGTTGCAGTCGTTCGCACAAGAATCCAAACTCAGTTTTACATGATGCATCTCACCTGAGTGATATCCCGTAGAAGTGGCATGAGCAGCTCTCCCTCAAGGGCCAAAGTCTCGTTGTGCAGTAGGTCATACAGTGATCCATGATCCATGTACTGGTAGACACAGACGGAAGGACGCAACAGGCAGTAAGCACTACATTGCTCGGATTCACCTGGCTAGTGGAGTTCAACACTAGCTTACCTCCATTATCAGCATTGGTTCTCCCTTTGTGACCGCGCCCATCACTGCCAGAGAGACTATTGTTGAGAGAAACGGCAAGACAGCACCCACGAGGAGTACATTTCGACTCACCAGTGGTAATACATGGGTGCCTCAGCTAAGCAAAAGAGTAGAAACGTGTGTTGAGTCTGGCTTGCAAAATGATACACTAGGAGTCGCCAGCAAAATCATATGTCGAAGTAATCTGCCACGGTTCTTGTTTGCTTCCTTGCTTGCTTGCATACTAACCTTTGACAGGTACCTCATTTCCTCCATGAACTCTGCCTTCATCTGTTTCCATTGAGCGGCCTGGCTTTGCTTGAACCCAAACTTGCGAGCTTTTGGGTTCCCTGGCATCATGCTACCCAACATGGACATTCCAGCCCACGACGTCGTGTTGCCATTGAGCCCCGACGCCAATCCCAGACCCGACGCCGATGCCCGTAGCGACTTCATACCTGGGCCATGTGCACTTTCGCTGTCTATCTTTTCCTCCCTGGATTGAGGTGGGATGACACGTTTCACGGCCACGGCAGTCCCTCGGTACTCCCCCAACAACACCAACCCAAATGTGCCTCGTCCAATGATTTTGGGAGGATCGTCAAATATGATGTCCTTCTTATCGACCTCCCAGACGGAATCATTGTTTTTGCGTTTGTTTTCGTAAAACAAAAAGACCACAACCCCCAACACCGCCAATACCACCAATGGAATGACGACTACCGTCGCCATGCTGGCTCCCCCTGTTTCGAGTTCCGGCGGCGGTGGTGGCAAATCGGGCGGAATGTTGGGTGTCCCATCATTGAACAAGTATTCTGCCTGTTTTTCCCACACCCCACCTTGAAACAAGTGTGCATTGACGGGTACAAATCGTACCACTTCTTCTCCCGTTTCCGGATCGGTTTCGAATTGTTCTTGATAATTGGCCACCTTATAGAGTGCGGATGCCGGATCTCGTGTTCCCGTGGCAGGATCAAACATTATGGGTCCCGAGAATCCGGTAAAACTTTGATTCTTGAAGGCATCGAAATGTTCCTGTCCGGTAATTGCCAACGTTTCTTGTTCGGCGGCTGCTTGACAGGCGGCCAATCCCAACCCCACCACGGCTTCGTACATGAAAGGTGCAAATCCACTGGTGACACCCTTGAGGTAGGATTCGTGATTTCCCGTGACGAATTCGTGGGCATTGTATGTGGGCCAATCGTCGTGTTCTGGAAAGAGCTCTCCAATGGTTTGCAAATCGGCCGGATTGTCCATTTGGGTAAAATGTTCGACGAATGTATCAAATTTGGGAATGCCTTTGAAACCTCCTGTCGCTTCCAACAATCCCGATCCCCGATAACTCTTGTGGAGTAGTCCATCTTTGACGAATGTGCGTCCGTCGAGGACACCCAAGAAGGAATCTCCGTACAGCCAAATGTGCTCGCCATCTCCGGCGACGCCGGTTTGGTACGCCTCGGTCATAATGGCATCGTGTGTTTCAGCCGTAAAGACAATCAAGAAAATATAGCGGTATTCAGTCGCTTTCACGGATGCCACGGCAGCTTGAATGGCGGCTTGTCCATCATCGAGTGGGACTTGATGAATTTTGAGTTGCGGGGCATGAATGGCGGCGGCATTGCGCAATCCTTCGACGTAGTTATTCCCATAGGCATCATTGACGTTGATGACGGCCAAATGTTTCAGATTGAATACAGTGTGCATGTATATAATGATGGGAATGGCATTTCCAGCATCACTGGGAATGGTTCTTCCAAAGAGGGGATATTGCGAGGCATCGTCGAGATCGGCGCTGGTACTACCGGCACTGATTTGTGGGTATCCAAACAATCCCGTGACGATACTCATGGGCATGGAGACGGCCGATCGGTAGGCTCCCAAGAAGGCACATGGTTTTTGTGTCGAGCGACTGGTGACGTCGACGACCCGCGCCAATGCGACACCTCCTTGAAATTCTGTGTCGAACCATTCCGTGGTGAAGCGGATATTGCAACGCTCATTCAACCCTTCCACTTCTGGCACAACTACGCCATTGCCGGAATTCAAATCTTGCACGGCCAATGCCACGGCGGCGGCATCTTCGTGGGCAATTTGAAATGGTTTTTGGTCGTTTTGGGTAAATGGTAGAATGGCCGTCAAATGACAAAAGGCAATTTCGGTTACGTCGTCTGTGGGTGGCAGTTCAAAGAGTTCTACGTTGGAATTGTCGTCTTCCGGGGGAATAAACTCTTGGGGGAAATCTTGACGGAGTTGATCGTACCGACGAATCGAATGCAAAATACCTTCTCCCGGTGGATCTGTACTGCTACTGGTAGAAGAAGAAGAAGTGGTACCAGGAGGAGAGGAAGTACCAGAAGTAGAGTTTTGCGGATTGATATCGGAAGCAATCTCATCATCTTGTTGTTGTTGATTGATTGGAATTTGCCAATAAGGATTCGAGTTATTATGGTTGGTGGCTGCCAAAGGAGGACTCGTACCGGTAGTCACGGGACGAGGAATGTCCCAATAGGCATTGCCATTATCAGAAGTCGTCTCGGTTGGTGTTGGCTTGTCCCAATAGGGATTGTTCTGGATGTCGTCGTGACCGATTGGCTTTTCTTCAATAATCACAAACGTGGTCTGCTTGGTCAATTTCGCCATGGCTTGAATATGTGTACTGTAATTCAAGAAGTCAATCGAAGAAATTCTATTCAATCCTTTGTTCTGTACAGACACAAGTCTCTTCTACCGGTATGCTATGGGAGCTTTCAATGCTACTGGTAGCGTATACCCCAAGAACAATAGATAATGTGCAAGGCAGCCAAAGGGGGAGCTGATACTGCAGGAGTCTCTACCGGTATCTCTAGCTAGCTAGTAGCAACGAAAGGAAGATGGAAGGGAATATCGAAGAGGCCACGAAAGAAGAAACAAACTGGCGGATGCTAGGATGAGCCGCTGACGAGGATGGATGAAGGATGAAGGGTGAGGTTGTGAGGTTGGAGTCTTTTGGCGCCTATTGGTGAGTCGGTACCAGAATTCTGTACATGCACGTCGATTCTATTCATTCAAAGATTTTACCGTACAGTACTCTTTTTCTGTTCTGTGTTTACGGTTCATGCTATGAAGGAATTATGAAGAGATTACTATGCTGTATACTGGTACACTGGTACCCACAATGTCCTATCGACACATTCTTTCATAGTAAAACACTTGATTGATGACTCCATCGAATTTTCTTGGGTCCTCTGTACCTGGTACGTACGCATATGAACTCAAGCGCAGTGATTCTGTGACTGACGGTAGACAATGCATTTAGAGGACCATGAGCTGGACCATGCATACATGTAGTTACCCGGTACCCGGGTTGTATTCCCAGTCTCATAGGGCGGATACCTTTTACGGTATTTTAATATCGCATTCCTTGAATGCTGGATCTACAGTACGGTGTGGTGGGGTGGGCAGGTTCAAAAATTGTCAACGAAAATTCTCTGTAAAAGACTGATAATTCAGAAGTAATACTTTTGCAACACTAAAAGAGTTCCAGGGGAAGTGTTCAGGAGAAGTGTTCTGGAGCAGTGTTTGAGAGAAGTGAAACCAAATTTGCAGAGGAATGGGATTCTCAGCTTGCCTTTGAAATAGGCCGTGCACAACACACTCACATCCGATGAAGGAATGTAGCCGGCAGCCAGAGATGAAAGAGAAAGAAATTTTGAATGGACTCTTCGGTCTATGCAACTGATACCGGTACCTGGCACGTACTGTGCCGGTGGCTCGCTCGCTCCACAACGCTGCTCGCAGTGACGCACGAATCTTAAAAGCTAAAGATATCGGCTAAGGGAGAGCAACAGGTGCTTGATCGTTATAGCTTGGTCAACACTTCGCTCATCAGAAAGCATTTTCATCATAAAGGCGCCTAGATAGAAAGCCCCTGCCTCAATCAGGTCCGAGTCCCCAGTAGCCATCACATCATATGCTCAGTGGTCCTTCGGGGCAAGCAAGTACCTGGGTGGCAAAGATTATGCACCTCTACTGCAGCACCGGTGCCGTACGGACCTCGGGGGCAACAACTTTGAACCTCCAGGGTGCGCACCTCGGGTGGTAAAGATTCGATTCTGCACCTACCTCTATCCTGCTGGTCTGTCAAGTACGACACGCGAAGAACTCAAATCAAGTGCTTACGGTACCGGCACTGGGGCACACGCTAATATGTAACAGTTTCGTCTACCACGGTCGAGCCACTTCGGTACTACCGGTATTTTCAGCTTACGGTACGCTACCATGCTGTTTCGTAAAGAGATGTAGACTGGCGACCAGAGACGCATCCCTGCATGTAAAAGACTCAGCCGATTGCTCTCGGTTGAACCTGGTGCGGTTGGGGTCGAGACGATGGCTTTCGCTTGAACCTGGTACGGTTGGATTTGTTGAGACGATTGCGATGAGCACAACGAGGAATGGCGAAAGCATCATTACAGTCCGAAGCGCAAGGAACGCCAACATCACAAACGAATGATTGAATGTTCTTCGTGGTGCTGCCGAACCGCGCCATGCATTTTGGCAGAACGAGCTGGTTTTCAGTCCTTGTTGAGAGCGCTCGAGTCACAGATTGAATCGAATGAGTCGATTCATGCCTGTCGGCTTGGATCTTTTGCAAGACCGGCCTTTCCCAGCAACAAAACTGGCTCACAAAATTCAACCCACCACAACTCGAAAACAACCAACCAAACTAAAAAACACAATCTTTTCTCACAATGTTCATTGACACTACAAGCTGCCCTGGATTCACCGTCCGTGTCCTCAACAAGTCATTCCTTGCTGAGAACAACAACAACAACAAGACACCCAGTCGCCACCATCGCGATCATCTTATTTCCATGGTAGCTACAAGCTTTGCCGAAGGAGAACCCTGTTGCAAATTTCTAGGTATTACAGCAGAGTTGCTCCAGGAACACTTGGTGGAAGCCCTGGTGGATAAGGCAATTGAGGAGGAACTATCCTTGGTCTGTATTGACAATGAAACTGGCAGCATTGTGGCAACGATGCTCAATGAAGATTTTTACGATACAATGAACCCTGATGAGGAAGCTTGTGAGGCTCTTGCCAGGGACCTCCCAGAAGCCATTCCAATTTTTGCCCTTTTGGAGCACTTGGAGACTCGTCTTGTGGAAAGAAGATTTGGTAATACTGGAGGAGTGATGAAGCAACGGGAGGTTCTTCATGCATTCATGGGAGCCACTTGCAAGGAATATTCTGGAAGAGGACTTGCCAGTTGTCTTCGCAAGCTGACAGCCGAGTATGCAAGGGAGGCGGGCTTTGCCCATGTGGTTGTGGAGCCAACCAATCCAGCAACGCAGCACATTTGGACCAACAAAATGGGTGGCACTGTGGAGTGCCATTTGGAAGCCAAGGATTTCATCATGCCAGATGGCAGCAAGCCATTTGTGAGCGACACAGGAAGCTCTATGGAAAAGGATGCCATTATTGTGATGCTGACTTTGTAATAATAATCAACACTC